GGGGGTTGCCCGGCAAACTGTGAAGCCGGTAGCGCTCGGGCAGCCCTTTTCACATGGCTGGGAGTGGGAGGGAGGAGGGGGCGGAGTTAGGGTGGAGTTGGGGCGGGGCTGGGTGGGAAATGGGCGGGGCCAGGGCCCCGCGGAGGGTCCTCTTTTTTTATTTGTTCAATATGGTAACCCTACATTAAAGTCAATTTGAGTCTTTCCATTGACTTCATTAGACATTGAATCAGGCTGTAAGTGAAGAATGCTTTATCTGATTGGCCCTATAGGATGATAAGTCTGCAGGCAAAAAGTGATAACTACATAACTGGAATTTGCCCAGGAGTTGTCTTGGAGCCTAAGCCATCTCCTCTATCCTGCAAATGGCTCTGCACAGGCAAATGCTTGAAATCAGTGGGGCAGTATGCAGGCACTGCCGAGGCAGATCTAGGTGCAGGACTGAGGCCACACTGTGTTCAGGGTTGCATTAGCTAAACTATTCACACCACATGTTCAAATCCTGGCAGGGGTCAGTTTAGCTCTGCACCCTTCATGATAAAGAATTAGAGCTTCACTCCTTCTATGAGGTACTCAGCACTTTCAGCTGCCATTAAGGGCACTCAGCACCATGCATGATCTGACTTTGTGTGAGGATCTGTTAGAACAGAACTTGAAAAAAAATCAGGATAGAGTGAACCTTCTGAAGTATGATGTTGTGCAAGCCTCTAGGAGCCAGGACAGTTTTTGGGGGGTTGCAAAGCTAGTCTTAGTACACAAACCAATTTTTATTTATAGTTTAAGCCTGTTATATTGCAAGTGTCATTCAATTTTTTAAAAAAACATTTGCACCTGTGATGCTTGAGTGGGTTCATATTGCGTAAAATGATGTTGTAAAACAATTTCTCTGTGTGGACGTTAGACATCCTGTGACATTTTTTATAAAAAGTTAGGGGTGTGCTCCATTTGTCCTGGGCCAAAATTTTCTTTAACCATAATGTTCTGGGTGCTTATTGGTTGTTACACCTTCCAGAATAATAATACATACCTACCTTATGATCATAATAAATACTTTCTAGTCTATATAACCCTCTGTCAGAGAAGCTCAGCCTCAAAGGACTTTACAGACATTAATGAACTAAGCCTGACATCCCCATTGTGAGATAGGCAAGTATTATGTCCATGTTATGCCCATAAGTGGCTGCATTTCGGTATAAGTATGTAGTTTTAAAGTGCTTTTGGATTCTTCAGGATGAAAAGACATTTGGAAATGTAAGAGATTATTCTAATTTCAAACACTTAGGATGAGCAATCACTTTATGACACAGTGGAACCTAGACATAGGATGATGTTAAAAAGGTAAAACAAAAAGACATTTAATGACAATTTAAAAGGTGCTATAAATTTCATTCTCACTTGCCTTATTTACCTATAGTTTTTCTCTAATATCAACAATTTTTTTATTAAAAAAGTCTTTTAAGAATTCAGAGGTTACGTTATTTCGCTATTTTAAAGCGATGCTTTTTGTCATAGCAATCTAAACATCTGCAGATTTCCATCTGGACATAGATCTCAAACAAGTTGCCAGACACTTGTACAAAAGGGAATGTGCAGAAGACCAGAGGCTCGTTTATTAACTAGTTTTGTTTCACAGTCCTAGGACTAGATGATGTGATTGGAAACTTTGAAGTTGGCAAAGAATTTGATGCACTGCTGATCAACCCCAAGGCTTCAGACAGTCCTTTTGACTTGTTTGCTGGAGATACTTTTGAGGTAATCAAACCACTAAATTATCCAAATGCTCCAGAAAGTTACTGAAAAGAGCAAGCTGCAGATCCAGCAGGGAGACGGGATGCTGTAGCATTCAGGGGCTGAAGCAGCAAGAGTCCTTCCAGGAGTACCTAAGTGACAGCCAGGGTACTGCACCCTACAGTATATCAGCCACACTACTCAATGACAATATGGGTGAGGGTTAGCCCCATTAGTCCCTAATGACCAGTGTTGCTCCTGAATTTTGGCATTATCCCATTACTTCTGGTAAAAACAATAGGCCAGATTAATCCCTAGGACTGTTCCACTGAAATCTAGTGTCATGAATTTGAACCTGTTGATACCAGTGACATAAAACTTGTTTTTTAATGCTAGCATAATCTTTTAGCTGGGTTTATTTAGTAAAGAAAAAAGAACAAAGATTTTACTGGGCAAATTAAACAAGGTTATTAGCTGATCAGTGGGATGACAAAAGAGTGGGTAAAGGGAAATGTTATGACTGAACAATATGCCTGTTGAAGTGTTATCTAATTTATAGTGCCACATTTTTCTGATATTGGCTCTTCTAAGAGATATAGTCTCTTTAGCAAATAGACAAATCAAATTTTGATTTTACAGTTAAAAAGCATATGTTAGGTGAATTTGTTTTTGCAGTCTTCTTTTAGTTTCATACAGATGTGTTTTGGGAGGAGAGAAACTGCTTTCTGAAATTTGTGCTTTTTCCATATTTTCAGGATATTATCCAGAAGTTCCTGTATCTAGGTACGTCCCAGCCTTCACTATACAGAAAAATTCTCTTTATCTCATACTTATCTAGATAATCTTCTGACATAATATGGAGATTGATTGCTTTTCCTTGTTATTCTTTTAAAATCACAAATGTTTACATAAGAATTGAGAAGTACAGCATTTTTGCTATGTTATGTGGTTACACAACATATGTTTTACATAAAATCCTGTGATCTGCTAGGCTAAGATTAACCCAACCAACTAGCAGGTTTTTAACCATGACTATTTGTGTCTACACTGGAAGCTAAGTGGTGTTTAACAGTGCATTAACGCTAACACAAATCACGTTTTTAAACACAAAATCACTTGCCCAGTCTCTACAAAGCCTAATGCCCTTTCATGTAGTATCTTTGTTCTCAGCAAGAAAGATGGGAAGTCACTTCTCAGGAAAACATACATACTCTTTACTTGGGATTGGCTGGACTAAGGGCTGGCCTACACTCAATTCTGGCATCAATTTAATGGAATTGTTTGAATAACCACATTTTTTAATTAGTGCAAAAACTGAGTGTAAACCAGCCTTTAGATCTACAGGACTAGCACTGCCAGTTTCATTCTTTTAAGATTTAGGGGAGGGGAAGGAAATCTTCCTAATAGAAGGCCCATGCCACATGAACCCTTTCCCAGTTTAAGAGGGGGCTATGTGCTGCAGGCTTTGGAAGTGATCAGTTCCACACCTGATGCTGGGTATTGTGTCACTTAAATCTACACATCCTATGCAACTAGTGTATGCAAAAATCTTTTGGCTTTATTGTTTCAGGTGATGATCGGAATATTAATGAAGTATATGTGGCAGGCAAGCAAGTGGTTCCTTTTTCAAGTTCAGTATAATTTCATTTCCGTTCTGCAAAACATTCTGTGGATCATTCTGCATCTAAGTTTGAAGGGATTGGTTAAATGCAGTGCCTCATTGTCAAGAGTGACACCTCAGTTTCTTTGTTTAATGCTGTGAATTTGCAAAATAATTATGAGCCTTGTTAGATTACAATTTACCTTACCAAGATGATGACATTTGTATAAGAAAAAAAGCTTTTAAGTCCATCTTTACAAATCACAACCATGAGCGGGGGAGGAAGGGGGGAGGGGCGGGCAGAAGAGAAAGCAGGGGCAGCTAGATTAAAGCCAGTGCGGTATACCTACTCCACCAGAGGTTCCAAATGAAAACTGTGCAGCTGTCTGGAGCTCATAGATTGCCAGAGCCAAATGGAATTCAAACCTTGCATGTTTTTAGTTCTGTTATAAGCCTAGAACCTCTGGGCCTGATTCTCTTCACGCATAGCAATTTATACCAGTTAACTGAATTGACTTCAGTGGGATTACTCCTGACTTAAACTGGTGAGAGATCAGACTCAGGCCCAGTGATTTCTGCAATCAGAAATTTTCTTTTGGTAAAGAAACTTCATAGTTTTTAAGGTCAGAAAGGGAAAGTTCTCCCACCCCAATTGTCATAACTTCCAAATGATCAAGAAGTTTTATATAAAATGAGTCGCTAAAAACAGAGGATCCATAAATATTCCCTGTGTGTTCACAATATTTGTAATTCCCGTAGAATATAGTTTTGAACTGAAATGGATTTTTAATAGTAAAACCAGAGCAGTCTAAATTTATAGAATTTACTTGTTCCTGAAAGTGCTTGTCAGGAACGATTATCTGTGTTTGAGCACAGAGGCAGGCATAATCCCAGTCTGGTTCGCTTCCAGTTTAAAGATGCTCTTTTAATTTTTGAAAAAGTCTGTGAGATTAAACTCTTCCCTTGAAGAGCACATTTCCCTATGTTTTAGCTCCACCATTTTGCCTCTGGGGTTAGGCAATTGGTTTACCTCCTGCTGGCCTAATGCCTCTTTTTCATGATTGCTTTGTAACACAATGGAAGTGCACTTGAATTTAAATACCCTCAGAGGCCTTTCCTCTAGGCCAGTTCAACAGGCAATTAAGTCAGTATAACTATATGTTGTTCAGGGGTGTGAAAAATCCAAACCCCTGAGTGACGACCCAACCCCAGGCATAGACAGCGCTAGGTCAACTGGAGAATTCTCCTGTGGACATAGCTACTATTTCTCAGGGAGGTGGAGTACCGATGCTGATGGGAGAAGCCTCCCATCAGTGTAGGTCAGTGGTGGGCAACCTGCGGCCCATGAGCCACACGCAGCCCGTCAGGGTAATCTGCTGGCGGGCCACCAGACCGTTTGTTTACATTTGCATGGCCGCCTGCAGCTCCCAGTGGTCGCGGTTCGCCGTTCCCGGCCAATGGATGCAGTGGGAAGTGGCAGCCTGCAGGCCACAGGTTGCCACCACAGCTCCAGAGGATCCCTAAAAATCTGCAAGATATAGCAGCGAAAACACAGCAGAACAATTTGGGGAAAAGTCACTGAGGATCCCATTGTGGAATTTTACGCCCCCCAAGGTTTTCTATGAAATTCTGCCACCACCCCGCCATTTGCACAAAATTGCCTAAATAAAGACAAATCAAAGCACAAAACCCCCACAAAAATACACCACAAACAAAATATGAGCTGGCCACCAGGAATAAAGGGAAGATACGAAACAGAACTAAGGACAAGGCCAGATCCTCAGCTGGTGTAACTTGTCATAGCACAATGAGCTTCAGCTGAGCGTCTGGCCCAAAGAGTACAAATGGGTGAGAGAACCTCTAAAGCACATATAACCAACTGCTTCCAGTTGTCTACCCAGACTCTGGATGGAATCTTTGATGTTATTTGTGTCTTTCATTTATGTTCAATGGCAGCATGCAATTCAGAAAAAAGAGGGGCTGTGGGAGGCTAGCTTGCTGGACCAATATGCTTAATGTGCACTATGTTAAGACCAGCACTTTTTATATATTATAAATGGAATCTATTTGAAATTTTATGTCTTTATCTTACTGTGTCACTTATTAAACTTCTGCTTTTATTTATTAATGAAATTGCTACTAAATATTGCCTATGCTTTATGCAGCATTATTTGAATTATTCATGTGTAGCAAGTGGTGATCTGCACTTTAAAATGTTGCCTTGGCCTAATGTTTATAGTTATTCTGTGATTTTTGCCAATAGAAGGCATTGTAGACTGAGGAGAGAGATTCTGTATTTGTTCATTTGTACTGAATGTTTTCATTACTGGAGTGTAATTTCTGCTAGTAAAGAAAGAGTTAAAGGAACCCTGTCAAGTAGTTTATGCTCAAGTGTAGCTTGTGGGGACAGAGGAGAGGGGTCCTTTAATAGAACCTGATATGAATAGAAATATTTTCATTGAATTAAGAAAAGTTCTGTGGAAACAGGCTTTTAAATTTAGCCTGTAGTATGGACAGCAAAGCACAACAAAAAGCAACATAAAGGGACAAAAGTAAATTGCAGTTCTTTTAAAGAATATTTCAGTTCTAAAAATCAAAGATATTACCAGCATAATCAGACAAGGACTTCAAAACATGTATAGTTATGTGTTCCCATAGGTAATCCATAACGCATGACAAGATGTGTAGCTTTTGAATTTTATAATGCATTTATATAAATCAATGGTACAGCCTCATCTGGAATACTATATGTAGTACTGTCACTCCAATCTCAAAAAGGATATTGCAGAATTAGAGGGGAGGACCAACAAGAACGATCAAGGGCCTAGAAAAACACTCGTATAATGAGAGATGGAAAAGCGTGGGATTATTTTCCATAGAAAGGTGGTAAGAGGGAACATGAAACCAGAATATAAAATAATTAATAGTGTAGAGAAGGTATATAAGAAACTTCTCGTTGTCTCATAACACAAAAACAAGGGGACATTGAGTGAAATTAAAATGTGGGACATTCAAAACTGATAGAAGGAAATTCTTTTTCATACATTGTGAAACTCATTGCCACAGAAGTCAGTGACTCCAAGAACTTGACAAGATTCAAAAGGGAACCGGACATTTATATAGACATCAAGAATATCCAGAGAATTACAATTAGTAGTGGGTGAATAACTGATTTTTTGGTTCCCTGGCAGTTCTGAAAAATAAAAAGAATATGGTTTCAGTTAACCCCAACCTAGAAACTTCAAAAAATTTTGATAAGTCAAAAAAATCCATTTAGTAATGTTTTGTTTCAGATATTTTTAAAGGGCTAGATTCACAAAATGCTGACAGGGTTAGAAGATGGCAGTGATGGTGCCCTCCTTATAACTTTTAGTCCAGTGGTTAGAGTACTCACTTGGGATGGGGAAGACCATTCCTCTGTGCCTGATGTGGAAAAGAGATTTGAACTTGGGTATCCCACAGTGCAGGAGAGTGCCGTGACCACTGGGCTATGGGGCAGCTCTCACTTTTTCCTTGCTGAAGTTGTTTCACTTGTTATAAATAGTCATTGGAGCAGTGACTTGAACTTTGGTCTCCCACATCTTAGGCGAGTGCCCTAACATGGCTTGTCCTAGTCTACACTGAGCACAAAGTCATGGTCACCATCGTCTCATCTAACTCCAGGGTTCCCAGTCGTGTTGAAACACAATAACATTTTCTAATGCAGATGAGCCTTCAATGGCTTTTCTGCGAGACTGCCACCAGGGAATGGTGGTGACTTTTGTGAGGTGGATGCCTATCCCAGAGAATCTGCACTGAGACTATCCTCTTTATCTTTATGTTCCCGTTCCATGTTCAGTAAGGTTCCAAGCTAGTGGGTTAGGTTCATTCCAGGGTGACAATGACCTACGTTGATGTAAACCTTAGTGTAGGGCACTGACATTAGGACATTCACTAAGGGACCAGGCTGCAGCTGTGCAAAGCAGTCATGCAACCTCTACTAGGCTTCAGCAGCCACGGACAGCACAAGAAGCAGTGCTGGGCAGTATGAGCAACGTGCTGATTCAGTACATCCCCTCACAGGGTCCTTCTGGGGAAGTTCTTGTGCAACTTAAGCTGTTCCCTCAGCACGAACCTAGAGGGAGGGTTGTGGCAGCAATACTGGCTGTTCTCCTTAGGGAACACACCCCTTTCTACCCAGCATGTAATTTACACCTCTTTGGGCCAGTTTTGTTGAAACTGGCCAATGGTCCCATCTGCCTGGTTCCTGTTGTACATAGGTCCCAGTTCTCTCTTTCCAGCTATTTCTGAGGAAAACACCCAATAGAAATAATGTTATTCAGTTCCTCCTTTCTATTCTAATTAAGTATATCTTGGAGGGGGGAGTATATTTGGAATAATGGTATTTGTTTTTTGCACTGTTCTGCTTGTTTCTGATTGTGCTGAATGAGCACCCATGTACTGCTGAAACAAAATAAAGAGGCCTTGTGTTTACATTAATCACCGTCTGATTCAGTGTTTGACTGATAAACCTGGCCAGCCTCACTATGTAAAACATATACGGTGAGGATCATAGTACAGTGCAGAGTATTAGTGAGATGCACAGAAGTTACCTTTTGCCCTGTGTATCTCTGACATACACATTACAAGTAATCTGTAAAGCCTGCTTAGTATGTATAGCTTTGTTTTATGGGAGCTACCAATCTTTTTTAGAATCAAAATGCTAGTTGTGCTTTATGTGACTTTATTACCACGTTTACAGGCCTGATAAATCAACATAACTGCTTCACTGACACTTTTATTATTTTGTGCTTAAATAGACCATCCTGAAATGCCTCATTCACGCATTTGGCAGCAAGTACACAAATGCAGAAAAGAATCACTTTTTTTTTTAAACATATTTTTCTCTGCTTTATAATTTTGCAAAGCTTAGGCATAAAAGCGTTCCATATCTCAGCAGCTATGAAGCACAGTAGACATGGATTTCCTTAAACCAAAAATCCCGTAGAACTATTAATTACACATTGAGGAATTATGTATCAAGCTTTTGAGAATTATGCACAAGTGATCACTAAAATATGCAAAGTTATGTGCAGATTAATTTTTTTCCCCCCATCAAGCAGCTTGTCAACAGAAGTCATACAAACTGGTCAGTAAAATACTGAAACTAAACTGCTTTATTTGTTACAATTCTTAATAAAAGGGCCCATTTAACCTTTGCAATACAGGAATTCTGCTGCTGTAAATGCTTAACACTTCATTTTGGAAAATAGCTGTGACAACTGTTTTGCTAAATGTTTGTTAGCGGTGCTACGTAAAAGATTTTTCTAAAGGATTGTCTACATACAAAAGTTGTACTGTTTGTATAGTTAAAATGGTGGACACAGTTAGGCCATGCCTACACTACAAAATTATATCAATAATTAGTTATTGCAGCTATTAAATCACTTGTGTGGACACAGGCTTGAGTCTTTGTGTTGGTGGTGCATGTCCTCACTAGGAGCACTTGTATCAATTGTATTGTCAGTGTGGGGCACTGTGGAATGGCTCCTGAAAGCCAGAAACAGTCGAGGTAAGCAATGCAGTGTCTAAACTGACACCCTGTTGACCTAATTACATCGACAGTGACTCTACACCACTCAGGGACCTGGTGTTACTAAATTGGCATAGAGAGGTACTTAAATTTGGCTCCTGATGACTTAAGTGAATACACTTCCACAGGTAGGTTGACGCAAGGCACCTTCTATCGACCTAACCCTGTTGTGTAGACCAGGCCTTAGACTGGTGTAAGGTGCTTATACTTATATAAAAACCATGAGTAGACCAGACCTGAGAGCCATTGGGTAAGGATACAACTAGATTTTTCACTGCAGTGAGTCAATACGGGTGTGGTGTAAAAGCCCACTTTAAGAACACAAATGAGCACAAAATTAGGAATAACTTTTTTAAAATTATTTGTTGACTTTTAACCAAAATAAAGATAACCATGATGTAATACTTCCATACTTTCAGTATGTTCTTCATGGGCCTTATCCCAAGGCTGTGAAAGGAAAGACTTTCATTGACTTCAGTTAGTTTTGGATTAGGTCCAATGTCTGCATCGTTTATAAATTAGCTTATTGGTTTGGTTTGTAAATAAAGGGCACAATTATAATGCAAGAAGCATGATGCTCGCGCTCTTCTTTCCCCCTGTGAAAGCCTTCTGTTTGAAAGATCAATGTGTGTATAATGAATTCACAACTGCATCCTTGTAGCTAATTGCAAGCTCAGACATCTTTTAGATAGCTTCCCAAGTTAGATAGCCAGAAGTGGCACAGGAACAAGATTCAGCAGCAGCAGCAGCTCCTTCATTCAGCATCCCCTCGCAGGGGACCTAGCCCTCCTGTTATACAGCCACCACCACCCTAACTGGAAAGGTGAATTTGGACTCTAGTCACTTTCTACCTTGTCTACAGTGGCAAGTGCCGTAAGCCACCTCTGACCTAACCCACTCACTAGTGAAAAGTACACCACTGTCCACCCCCAAAGTACAATTGCACAGGTTATGGAAGTATGTGTAAGGCTCCCTGCACATTCTGTTTTCAAAATCCTCAGCCTGGCCCTGCCCCCCAGCAGTTGAACATGTATCCAAGAATTTAACAGTGTACAGAAACAATTGTTTGGAATATTCCCTTTCTGGAATATCCTGCAATACCCACAGTGACAGACACAGAACTGTCCCATTTAAATACTGATACCAGGGCTTTTAAACTATGAAAACAGCAGTATTTTTGCTTAATGCTGATGCAGTGCACATTTTCTGAATCCAGATTCTATTGAAGTCCCACATAATAGAAGGATAAAGTTTTTCTCCTGAATTAGTTATTAAAATCAAGCCTAAAAAGCAATTCTGATAAACATTCATTTCTGTCAAATCTACTTCTCATAACAGATTTTGTTGTATTTTTCCTATTCTTTTCAACATATGCTAGAAGATGTCACTTTTTTGTGTTTGTTTAAGCAGCTAAAACATGAAGTCTGCCTGCAGGGAAGGAGTGGAAAATCTTGCAAGTTTTCCATTGAACTACATGGAAAACATACAAATTCCTCACACCTGCCTAGGAGAGACAGTTTCCTTTTTGGTTGTGTTAATAGCTTCCTTTTTATCCTGAACCAAGAGGGAACAATATGTCAGCACCAAGACAAACATCCTCCTTCTCAGCTGGAATTGGGCAGGAGCTGTAATTGGTCTTGACAGCATATGAAATTACAGAAAATCATGAATAATCCATTATGTTGAACAAAAATATTTCCCTAATATTCTGCAATAATGTCTAAAACTAATAATGGGGAGGAGGGGGGAGCAGTTTTGCTCTTAGATATGTGGGTGAAACTCTTATTGGTGAAGGTAGAATTCTGTTCTGTCAGTGAGTTCTGCCTGACACCACTCAGTCACTCTGGCTACTTGACTGCCTCTCACTCTTTCTGTGTGGTGTATCTATAGCATCCTTTAAAATTAACAGTTGCCATTGTTATACTTTATGACTGATGAAACTGCAAACAGATGTGAGAAACAAGAATCAAGCTGAAATACTGAATAAACCAGACACTTGGAAGGTGGTAAGGTGATAGGGAACAGCCAGCATGGATTTGTGAAGAACAAATCATGTCAAACCAATCTGATAGCTTTCTTTGATAGAATAACGAGCCTTGTGGATAAGGGTGAAGCGGTGGATGTGGTATACCTAGACTTTAGTAAGGCATTTGATACAGTCTCGCATGATATTCTTATCGATAAACTAGGCAAATACAAATTAGATGGGGCTACTATAAGGTGGGTGCATAACTGGCTGGATAACCGTACTCAGAGAGTTGTTGTTAATGGTTCCCAATCCTGCTGGAAAGGCGTAACGAGTGGGGTACCGCAGGGACCGGCTCTGTTCAATATCTTCATCAACGACTTAGATATTGGCATAGAAAGTACGCTTATTAATGTTGCGCTGGATGTCAAACTGGGAGGGATTGCAACGCCTTTGGAGGACAGGGTCATAAT